GGGTCAAATAAAATTGAGTAGAATATTCTTGCTTGGCACCTCAGGACAAAGATCTTCATTCCTGCTGCTTAAAAGCAGCCTTGAACTTGAATTCAAGTATGAAGAACCTGATAAAACAAATCGCGTAATTGCTGATTCGCTCTTGTTTCTTGGCGGAGAACATGGATAGAAGTGGCTGCTCAAGGCTGATGACTTGACACAAATCTTTGCAACATAAATGATCCAATGACCCATTAGCAGTGATAGCAGTCCAAAAACCATAAGCTCTGCTTGCAGCCAAAAAGGAGGAAGAGGAAAATGAAAACAAAAGAGTTCATTAAGCATCTTAAATGGGAAATAATGATTTACTCCCTATTCTTAAACGTTAAGCTCAAAAGAGCAAGCAGCCTTTAGAAGAATCAAAACCAGTGATCAGTACATTGAACTCTAATTTTTTCTAGTATATTTCACACACATCTACAGGGTTAGACCGTTAGAGTAAACAATCCTGTGTTCTACCGAACTCACAGAAACCTTCTACATCCACCACTGCAAGAGTGCCAATAATCACGAAAGGCTCAATATACAGATAGCAGGTGGCTTACCTTCCTTGATTTTCTCTAGCGCAGCATAAAGAGGTTTCCTTTTCGTCCTGTGCAACCACTGCAGGAACAAATTACAAATTTAGAGAATTCAAACAAATGCATAGAGCTCAACATATAATCCACCCCAAAGAAATATATTGCAGAGCTCGAAAATAGAATAATAAGAAATGGTTTTTTTCTTTTACCTTTCCAAACTTGTTCAAACTGCTATGGATTAAGAAACCAATGCTCACCAAAACTGTGACGACTGTCGCTACGGCCCATGTTGGTGTTTCAGCAAACGATGCTTCTTCCAATTTCTCCATCTTGACTAATATTCAACAACCTTAAAATCCACAGTAAAGACTGCATCAACCTTAATCACGTCTTTGGGTGGATTATCAAAGTTTTTGGGAAAATCTAATGCAGAAAGATGGAACTTGTTTCAAGTGCAGAAGCTTCAGCACTGAGCAAAGACTGCCATTAATAAGATCACCAATTGGTCAGCTGATTTTGGTTCATAGGCAACGAACATCAACTTAGAGCGTGGGGTGTTGGAAACTAGGAAAGCATAATGGTCCCATGTGGAAATGCCTGATGCAAATCTTTTGTCAGTATGTTGTACAACCAACTGGCAACCTCACGCATCCTTGTTCTGCTCTAAATGCTCACCCACCTATGTTGTCGTAGTTGCTGTTTCTACCACTTCATTAATGCACTTGTGCCTTGTGGTTACTTTGACCTAATCTTATATTTAGACTGTAAACTTTGTGCTTTTTTTGACGTAATCTCTCTCTTGACTAAAGACTTGTCGTATTGTTGGGGAGGTTGGTTTCTATGTTCTTCCGAAAATGGAGTAACAAATGCATCATATCAATAATCAACCTTTAATTGCTATCAGCCTTTTCAAGGTGTCACAGGTTTAATTGTTAAAGCTTTGAAGTTGTGGAATTGAAGTCTCAGATCAGCCTATTTGTGAAGGACCATATAGAAATCTATACTAAAACAGAATACACGATTTATTGCAGCATCAAAGCTCAAATTTTTGTAAGAGGTACAATTTCATCTGTAATTGAACCAAATAAAAAAAGTTCTGACATTGTTCTTTTTATACAAAAAATGTGTGTCGGTCAGTTTTTCTATCTTTGCCTGTCATTTTTAGGAATTGTGAACTATCTGAATTTTCCACATGCTCCTTAGGCCTATTTATTGGGGCTTATTGCTGGTTCTGTCGCCATAATGTTTTTTCAGTTCTGGAAGTTATATTGCAAGCTTTGCCTCGATCCTAGCAGAAATTAAAAATTATATAGCTAGATTTCTTTTTATTTACCTAAGTTTTGATTCACAAAGTTAATACTTCCTCGGCGGAGGCAGGATCTCCGCGCGAAGAGGATTCAAAAAGGAAAAGGTTAAAAAAAAAATGGAAACTATAGTCTTACAAATGTTTTGAACCCCTTAACCACTAAGCTATACTTTTGGGTTGTATTAAAGGGATTCAAAACTTAATATATCGACGAAGAGAGTTCGGGTGAACCCCTTCCGCCCCCCTAAATCCGCCCTTGAGTTCCTCCGTTCATAATAAGTGACTCTTTTGTTTTTTTTTTGTCCAAAATAAGTGTCTTTTTACATAATCAAGAAAGAATTATTTTTATTTTTCTACCCTTATTTACATATCTCAATGTGACAGGGTAACAATATGCAAATTTTAATTAAACGTAATATAGTGAATACATATTTTTTTCGGTAGGAGTTCGTATTTTTTTAAGGGCGTGCCAAAAATCAAATAGTCACTTATTATAGAAGGGAGGAAGTATTATTAGTGAAAGGAGTTATAGCCTATTTGGCCAAGCTTCTTTTTGGCCAAAAACACTTTTTGCCAAAACTTGAGGTGTTTGGCCAAGCTTTTGGAAGGAAAAAAGTGTTTTTGAGGAGAAACATAAACAGTTTTGGAGAAGCAGAAAAAGAGTTTCTCTCTAAAAGCACTTTTTTGAGAAGCACTTTTGAGAAAAATACACTTAGAAACAATTATTTAAAGTTTGGTCAAACACCAATTGCTGCTCAGAAGTGTTTTTCAAACTAATTAGTCAAACACAAACTGTTTCTCACCAAAAGTACTTTTGAGAAAAGCACTTTTGAAAAAAAAACATTTCTCAAAATATGATTTTTACAGCTTGGTCAAACAAGCTATTATTCAGTAATAATGGTAGTGAAGGTAACCGGTATTGGGTAGCCCAATAAATATAGAAGTGCACAAGTTGATTAGGACATTACACTATAGGAAAAAGAATTTAAGCTTCCATTCAAAGCGTAGGGGTGGCCCATTTGGCAGTTGAGAATCAAAGGGTTGCTGAACAGCTCAGTAGTTGGAGCTCTGATTGGTAAAAGTTAATATTTTTTTTTTAATATAGAATAAAGTATTTTGACTAATTCTCTTAGCCAGCTGCCATTAACAAACATCCATCGACCTCCTACCTAGCCGCCCAGCAGCTTACCTCCTATTTTACATCATTCAATAAGTAAGCTTTCTTCTATTTCAATTGGTTTCTCATCTATTTGCAATTTGTCTTGAGTAAAATACTAAGTACATTTTAGGGACCGCAACGAAAAAAAATGCAGATGTCAAAATCAGAGACTTTATTGCAATATTTTTGTTTTACGATGAGCGTCAAATACAGAGAATATACTAGTGATTTCAATGAAAACTTATTCTTTCGTGGTTAAGATATCTTGATAGCTAGCGCAACTGCTGCAACAAGAGAAGACCGAGTGATCAAAGTTCATCTTGTGGTTTGTTTACAGCAAACCCACTCTCCACCCAAGCCTGATATCCCCCTCCCATGTTGCTTACATGCTTGAATTCCTGCCAAGTTCATCATTAGTGTTAATTTGAATATGTTATCAGTATTTGGAACCATGTAACAATCTAGTAAGCCTAGAATTGTAGCCTAAAAAGGTGTAATTAACCTGCTACAAGCCGTTAAAATTGTAGATCTCATTGTAAATAAGTTAAATCATTTACCAAATCCAGGTTCTTTTCCGGAAAGTAAATATGCTGGTAAAGTCTTTCTAATAATCAGAGAGAGAGAGACAGAATTCAACTTACAGCAGTAAGAAGATCAGTAGTTGCGTACAGTGACCTCACACCACTTTGACATCCCTACACGACAGAAAGCTTACCCCCGTCAAATTACAGAATATTCTCTCTTTCAAATACTAACTAACAAAACCTTCCGAGAGAAATTAAGGTCTTAATGGGCACGTTGTTGAATAATATCGATCAATTATAAGAAAGGTGACAAATTCAGTTTGATTTACCACAACTAGCTTTTCTTCCTTGCCGAAAGCGGCAGATACTTGCTCCATAAATTTTGGATTCTTCACCCTACCTAAAATTACCAAAATTCGAAACATCATTATCTATACAGACATTAATGAGTTGATAGAGACTAATGCATCATTTGTTTTTTTTAAAGATTAATACGTCCAGATCTGAATACACATCTGAATATCAATATGTGAATTAATACATCTGAATTTGATTACATATCTGAATATTAAAATGTGTATTAAGATCTGAAAACTAAATGATTAAGACTGTTTGTTTTTAACATTTGAATGTATAAAATTTATCTTTATTTGAAAACTAATAAACATAAAATTCAAATAAAATAATAATTATTTAATATTCTATCAATAAAATATATATATATATTTTAAAATTTGGTAGTTAGTGGTGGTGATGGCTAACGACGGTGCTTGTGAATGCCGACTAGAGGCGGTGGTTGGTGGTAGTTTTAGTTGATGGTGATGGTTTTGATTGATGGTGGTGGTTCTGAGTAATAGCTAGTGGTAATTGATAATGATGACGATTATGGCTGAAAATGATAGTGGTAGGTGGTAATAATTAATAATTGTGGGTGTGTGATGGTGTGTGGTTGTGATTGAGGAAGGTGGTGGTAGTTTATAATGGTGGGCAGTGCCGGCTATGGTTGTTGATGGTAATCAGATGGTTAGTTGTAATAGTTGAGGTGGATGAGTTTGTGGATATGGTTGTGGTTGAGAATGATGGTGGCGGGGTAGTGGAGATTCTGGGTGATGGTTGTCGTTAATGGTGGCGGCTATGATTGGGGAGGTAGTGGTGGTGGTAGTTGAGTATAGTGGTGGTGGTAGTTGAGTATAGCGGTGGTGGATGGCATGGTAATAGTTGATAATGGTAGGCGATTGTGGCAATTAATGATTAATGTGGACGATATCATCTTAATGAAATTATGTCTTTATTATAGATCTTAATCATACATACCTATTAAGACTCATTAAATGGGTGTGAAGTAAAAAAAAATAAACAAACTAAATGATTAAGATTCAGACTTTAAAAATAAACGTACTTAATATCTGAGATCTGTTTGGCCAAATGAGGCCTAAAAGAGACAAATAGCATATTTGGCCAAGCTTCTCCAAATAAGTATTTTTTTCAAAGTTGTAATGTTTGGCCAATCTTTTGGAAGAAAAAAAAATATTTTTGAGAAAAGCAGAAGCAGTTTTGGAGAAACAGAAAAAAATAACTTCTCTCCAAAAGCACTTTTTAAAAAAATATTTTTGAGAAAAATACATTTAGAACTAATTTTTAAAAGCTTGATCAAATACTAATTGTTGCTCAGAAGTGCTTTTCAAATTAACTAGTCAAATACGAACTACTTCTTACCGATACTTTTGAGAAAAACACTTCTCAAAATAAGTTTATTTTTATGACCTGGCCAAACGGGCTATAAGACTCAAATAATAACTGAAAGAATCAGAAAAGGGAGACCTTGGGGAGTATTAAACATATAGGGAATATTCTCAGAGTTCTCTACATGTTCTTTCTTGAATTCTTCTTCTGTCCTGTTCAATTGCATGAAACCCAAATCAGAAATCTGATTGAATTGCATATTGAATAAAAAAGAAACCTTATTTGTGCTAGATTCTACCTAACATCAAGATAGCGGTGGCCAGAACGGAGGAGATGACGAGCTGCATGAACATCTACAGTAACTACCTGATCTGCTCCTGAGCTACAAAACAGAAGCAGAACTAGAAAAAGAACAACAAGAGAAAGAAGACTATTCCATAAAACAGTACCCATAATAGAACAACCTAGAATATATCTTTGCCTATTGCAGTAGTATTATGATTTGTGTGTTTAATGTACCAGGGTTGACTGGCCATGACAAATGGAAGTTGTACTTATATAAGATCTCTTCTCTTCGAAAGTGAAATTTTACTGCAAATGTTGCTACTGGATCAGAGGAGATCTATTGGCGGTTCGATTGTTTTGAGAACGAAAAATTGGCAGGAAGAGGAAAACCGATGGATCTATTCTAATGTGATAGAGATGGTTTCGTACTTTATTTGTTCCGTATATTGTTTTCGAGTTTAGCCGCAAGATAAGCAATTAATATTTAAGCACTTAGATTTGTGCCTTTTGGTGCGTGTACCTTACGTTAAAAGAATTACTGCTGCATATGAGCAAATGGGTTGCCCATTTTCAAAGTCTTCCACGTTGGGTTGCCCACTTTGACCAATTACCCAAAATCGATATTCTCCTAAAATACTGTATTCTACAATTAATGTGGATATACTAAACTTGAATGCAAGTAAATAATCTAGAATATTTCTAAATAAAAGAAACCACAATATTTTAACATTAATATCGATCCTAATTTACAAGAAAAGGAAATATTATATAGTATCTTAAAATATATTCCTAACAAAAAGTTTTTTTTGTCTATAACTGTCTCAACTCCTAAATTATATTACAGTACATGCCAACAACTATAAATTATATTACAGCATAAATCTTTAATACTCAAAGTTTCACGAAAACGCCATCCAATTTGCTAACATTATTGTCAATATTTAATAAATATTTTTCAACAGAAACTTCTTTGCTCACCAACCAAACATACATTTAGAAAAAAATTAACATGAAAATGACTTATTCTTTCGGAAAATATTATGTACAGCCCAAGTCCAACGAACGACTCATGGTCAATCTACGTTATAGATGTTCAAAGAACGAATCATGAACGGGTATTTGGCCATAACTTCACTTGCAAATACTGAAGCCATTGTTTGCCACCATAGGAGTATATAAGATTTGAACTTTAATTTGGAATTCTGCCACGTTTCGTCTAACTTCATGGGTTTAATTCTTTTTTCCTTTGCCTGTTTAGTGAATTTTAACACATAAATATATATGTTTTAAGCCAAAAGTAATGATTCACATGAACTCATAGCTTCTTCACTAATTTGTCCCTATTTGTAAGTTGAAGTTTGGTTACCAATATTTGCAAATATCGAATTTCAATATTCGAAATAATAGTGAAATGTTGAAAAACGTGTTTGAGAGTATTTTAAATGAAATAATAGTACACAAATTTATTAATTGTTTTTTTCATTTGAATATCTTTGCGAGCGCGTAGAAGAAAATCAGAACTGGGAAAAACCGGCACTTCAGCTATTCTTCAATGATCCGAAAAGTGTCGAATATAATCTGAATTCCACCTGAGGCCCCCGGGACCTCAACCAAGCATATCAACAAATCCAAAACATCATACGAACACGCTCGAAGTGTCAAATCACATGAAACAACAATAGAATCACGAATCGCGCATCGATTCAAGCCTAAGAACTCATGAACTTCCGAATTTCCAAGACTAATGCAGATTCATACCAAAACAACTCCGATTGACACCAAATTTTCCACACAAGTCATAAATGACATTACAGACCTATTTTAACTTCCGAAATTGGGATCTGACCCCGATATCAATAAAGTCAACTCCTGGTCAAACTTTCCAAAATCCTCCAACTTTCGCCAATTCACGTCGAAACGACCTACGGACCTCCAAATCAACGTCCAGACACGCTCCAAAATCACCATATAGAGCTATCGAACCGTCAAAACTCCATTCCGGAGTTGTCTTCACACAAGTCAAACTACGGTCAACTCCTACAACTTTTTTTTTAAATTGTAATCACTTTTCCATATATATAACATAAGGTACAACAAAGGAGGGGGACATAAACCTGGCCTCCAGACATATGATGAAAGAATACTTGGTTGTCAAGAATACTATGATAGGTTAGACCTATAATGATGTTCCAATTATCTACCTAGAAACGATAGATAATTGGATGTACAAAAACAAGCTGAAGTAAGCCTAGGTCAACTATACAAAATTGCACAAATGATCCTAAATCTACCGAAGTATTGAACTGGAATATCATCTTCCATGTACAATAATTCTATATCTAATAAAAGTGTAGAAGTTCCATATTGAGTGTGACAAAAGACATGTGAAAATGGAGAGGACTATCTTCAACTCTGCTTTAACATTGAATACAAAGAAAGCTAGGTTGAAGGTAGTTATCAAAAAGGTCCAGGGAACTGGGTTGAGTAGCTATTTTTTGTTGTTGTTGATAGAAGGGAATGAGCACTGTCTTTCTTTATTTGTCCAGTAGAGCTTGTGGCCTGGAACTGACTTCTGATTGCTGGGTAAACTGTTGCCATGCATGTGCTTTTGTTGTTGAGGGCTGATAGGTGAAGAAAGCAAGGTGACTAGGTCTGAGTCTCTTGAAATTTCCTGCTTTGGACTTGAATGGATGACAGGTAATCGTGAGTGCTGTTGTTGTATGAGATCAGGAGAAAGAGGTATCTCCTTGTAGTATTTGCTTTGTGCATGCAGAGGGCAGCATATTTGGAGCTGTTGTTGACAGAATGGTGAGGGCATCTTAGGTGTGATGTTTATTATAGCATGTGTCCAAGACTTGAAAAATTTGGGTGTATGTGTATGTGTGTGGATATGGGTTGGGAGATGGGTTGGGAGATGGATTGACAGACTTGGTAAAATTGATGCACTTTCAGCAGAATAAGCAGCTGAGATGCTGATACCACTAACTGAAAGTGCAGCAATTGACCAAGCCAATTCCACGTACCTGCAAAAAATAGCAAATATGTTAGTGAAAGAAGACTTTGTTTCCAGGTTCTTGTGGGGTCTGGAAATGAGCATTGGAGTAGGAAGGGAATGGTATCTCTGCTTTTGGTTGAGCAACTATTTGTAAGCACGAGATTTTTGCTTCACGGACAATCGCTCCAAAAGAAAATAAAAATAGTGACAAATGACTTCGCTGTACAATGTTTCGAGTTTTCCGTGACGTGTGTTGTTAGTCATTTGTGGGTCTGTCCATTTTGCATTTAATCTTACCGAGCAAAATACAAAGCATGTATGTCAGGGTAATTAAAACCATAATTCGGTCATTAAAAAAAACGAAAATTCAAAAAATATATATGCATCGTTCGTTCTAGGTTGTGATTTAACTTACTTAAATANGTTAAAATTTGTTCGGCCTCAAATGGTCAAAGTTGAATCAGATTTGGGTCAGTTTGGTTTAAACATTTTTCGGTAAGTTTTTCTTTTCCTTTTTTGTTATTCAACTGCTAATTAAGTTGTTAGCATGCTTTGTTGTGACCGTGTTTATTGTCTGATAATTTTCTTAATTTCTTCCATCTCTGTCAAAGACCTTTTATTTGGTCGATTGTTTCTATGTGTGATTTGAACGTATCCTATGATAAACATGTCCGATTAGGATAGTCGTCGCATAAATAACTTATATAGGTTCCCAGTTGATTGACCAAAGTTGTCCGAAGCCCTTCAGGTCCCTGTATGTATTGATTTATATGAACGACTGATTGTTACTTGTTATAATTAGTATAGTCGACTTGATAAATATCGTCGATTAACTTCCTACGACTGAATGTTCAAATATTCTAATACATACAACCTCACTCGACTGAATGGACCTGTATTGTGATTTGAATGCTGGACATTATCTATGAATTCTAGTTTGTAACTGCATTGTAAACAATTAAAAGAACCAGGCTAGGGCAGTTCTGAAATTGAACTTTCAGAAGTTCAAAATGCCCTGAGGCTGCAGTGATGCAGGACAGTAATAATCAAGGGTTAACAGGGGTGGTCTGGGGTTTGAAAAGAACAGAAAAAAAAATTAGTTTAAATGAGCTGACAAGTAGGGTACTAAATTAAGATTAAACTAATGCCAATGGGGAACAAGACACAAGAGTATGGGGTTTAAAATGAATACTAAAATGAG